TTCCACATATGAGTGAGATCATATGATAATTGTCTTTCTCTGATTAACTTATTTTGCTTAGCATAATACCCTCTAGTTCCATCCATGTTGTTACAAATGGCAAGATTTCATTTTTTTGATGACTGAGTAATGTATATATACCACATCTTCTTTATCCATTCATCTGTCAGTGGACATCTGGGCTCCCTCCATAGTTTGGCTATTGTGGACATTGCTGCTATAAACACTGGGGTTCAGGTGCCCTTTGGATCACTACATTTATATCTTTAGGGTAAATGCCCAGTAGTGCAATTGCTGGGTCATAGGGCAGCTCTATTTTTAACTTCTTGAGGAACCTCCATACTGTTTTCCAGAGTGGCTGCACCAGCTTGCATTCCCACCAACAGTGTAGGAGGGTTCCCCTTTCTCCACATCCCCGCCAACATCTGTCGTTTCCTGACTTGTTAATTTTAGCCATTCTGACTGGTGTGAGGTGGTATCTCATTAAGGTTTTGATTTGTATTTCCCTGATGCCAAGTGATGTTGAGAACTTTTTCATGTGTCTGTTGGCCATCTGTATGTCTTCTTTGGAGACCTGTCTGCCCATGTCATCTGCCTATTTCTTGATTGGGTTATTTGTTCTTTGGTGTTGAGTTTGATAAGTTCTTAGACTTTGGATACTAGCCCTTTACCTGATAAGACATTTGCAAATATCTTCTCCCATTCTGTGGATTGTCTTTTGGTTTTGTCAACTGTTTCCTTTGCTGTGTAAAAGCTTTTTATCTTGATGAAGTCACAATAGTTCATTTTTGTCTTTGTTTCCCTTGCTTTTGGAGACGTGTCTAGCAAGAAGTTGCTGCGGCCAAGGTCACAGAGGTTGCTGCCTGTGTTCTCCTCTAGGATTTTGATGGATTCCTGTCTCACATTTAGGTCTTTCATCCATTTTGAGCATATCTTTGTGTATGGTATAAGGAAATGGTCCAGTTTCATTCTTCTGCATGTGGCTGTCCAGTTTTCCCAATACCATTTGTTGAAGAGACTGTCTTTTTTGCATTAGATATTCTTTCCCACTTTGTCGAAGATTAGTTGACCATAGAGCTGAGGGTCCATTTCTGGGTTTTCTATTCTGTTCCATTGATCTACATGTCTGTTCTTATGCCAGTACCACCATACTGTCTTGATGATTACAGCTTTGTAATAGAGCTTAAAGTCTGGATTGTGATGCTACCAGCTTTGGTTTTCTTTTTTAACATTCCTCTGGCTATTCGGGATCTTTTCTGGTTCCATACAAATTTAGGATTATTTGTTCCAGCTCTGTGGAAAAAAAATTGATGGTATTTTGATAGGGATTGCATTGAATGTATAGATTGCTCTAGGTAGCATAGACATTTTAATATCTGTTCTTTCAGTCCATGAGCATGGAATGTTTTTCCATTTCTTTGCGTCTTCCTCAATTTCTTTCATGAGTGTTCTATAGTTTTCTGAGTACAGATCCTTTGCTTCTTTGGTTAGGTTTATTCGTAGGTATCTTATGGTTTTTGGTACAATTGTAAATGGGATCGAGTCCTTAATTGCTCTTTCTTCTGTCTCATTTTTAGTGTATAGAAATGCAACTGATTTTTTCATTTTATATCCACAACACCTAATAGTGCCTGGTGCTGGCTTACTGAATGAGGAATGAATTAATGAAAGAATAGTGTGTGTGTGTGTGTGTGTGTGTGTGTGTGTGTGTGTCTTTCTGTCTCTGTTGAAGGATTGTCAACAGAGGCACAATGGGGGAATTTTTATTTAGCAAATATATCTCCCTCCATTCTTTTTACTTTATTGTATTTTTTGAGAAAGGGTATGAGTGGGGTGGGGGGAGGGGCAGAGGGAGAGGAAGGGAGAGAATTTTTTTTTTAAAACATTTTATTTGAGAGAGAGAGCACACATGAGTGAGTGGAGGGGCATAGGGAGAAGCAGACTCCCTGCTGAGCAGGGAAGCCCAATTGGGGGCTCGATCCCAGGACCCCAGGATTATGACCTGAGCTGAAGGTAGCCACTTAATTGACTCAGCCATCCAGGCACCCTGGGAGGGAGGGAATCTTAAGCAGTCTCCACGCCCAGTGCCCAGTGCACCCGTACCACCCGCCCCGTGGGGCTCCGTGCTGGTGTGGAGTCTGCTTGAGATTCTCTCTCTTCCTCTTCCTTTGCCCCTCCCCCATTCATGTGCATTCTCTCTCAAATACATTTTTTAAAAATCTTTAAAAAAATGGTTAAGATGATAAATTTTGTGTTATGTATATTTCATCACAATTAAGAATTAAAAAGGGAGACTAGTTAAATTATAATATATCTATGTAAAGGAATATTATGTAATCATATAATTTGTATACCAGTATGGAACAATATACTATAAGTAACAACAGCAAAATGCAGAACAGTGTGTCAGGGATGCCACCAGTTGGGTTTTAAAAATGATGGAGGGAGGGGCACCTGGGTGACTCAGTCGGTTAAGCATCAAACTCTTGATTTCCGCTCAGATCAATATCTCAGGGTCATGAGATCTTGATTTCAGCTCAAATCAAGATCTCAGGGTCATGAGATCAAGTCCCACTTCAGCCTTGCTCTCTTTCTCAAAAAATATAATATATCTCAGTCAGTCACTCAACTGACTGAGCCACCCAGGCATCCCTCATCTTAACCATTTTTAAGTGTACAGTTCAGCACTGTTAAGTATATTCACATTATTGTGTAACCAATCTCCAGAACTTCTCATCTTGCAAAACTGAAACTCTCTACTAATTGAATAGCACCTTCCCAATTCCCTCTCCTGGAAACCATCACTGTTTTTCAATTTCTATGAATTTGAACTAGTCTCCCTTTTGAGTTGTTTTCCTCTTTCCTCCTTTTTTTTTCTTTCCTAAGATTTATTTATTTGTTTTAGAGAGAAAGAGCATGAAAGGGAGGGAGGGGCAGAATGAAAGGGAAAGAGGATCTTAAGCAGACTCCAAGCTGGGCCTAGAGCCTGACACAGGGCTCAACCTCAAGACCATGAGATCATGACCTGAGCCAAAACCAAGAGTTGGTCACTTAACCAACTGTGCCACCCAGGCGCCCCTTCCTCTTTGCTCTTACAAATAAGGCTGTGATAACTAGTTTTGCATATGTGTCAGTCTGCACATAAATATCTGTAAGTTGAATTCCTAGAAGTAGAATTTCTGGATAAAAAGATTTCTGCATTTCTCAGTTTTGATATATATTGCCAGACTGACTTCCCAAATTGTACCAATTCATACTCCCCACAGCAATGTATGATACAGCAGCTGTTTAAATATGTTTCAGTAGTTAGCTTGTCAGCTGAGCTGAGTTGGAAACTTGGGGAAGGAAAGGCCACTGGAAGGAAAGTTGGTGCTGCTGCCTTTTTCAAGGGGCTGGGCTGGGTTCTCTCCCAGTGTTCTACCTCTATTTAAGGATTATTTGACATCCCTTTAGTGTAGTTTTATGCTGCGTTCATTTAAAAAAACTAAAATAAAAATTTTCCCATACAGTATAAGCCATTTGAGTGTTGGTAATAACATTTGAGTGTTGGTAATGATTAGAATACCTCACTTTGCAAAGCGGTCCCACAACTTAAGACTATGTTTAGCCCAGCTGAAAATTTCCTTAATACAAATTTTTTTTTATGAAGATGGTCTCTTTTGTTTTTTTTAAATTTTTTTTTATTTATTTATTCATGAGAGTCAGAGGCAGAGGGAGAAGCAGGCTCCCCGCCCAGGAGGGAGCCTGATGCGGGACTCGATCCCAGGACCCCGGGATCATGACCTGAGCCGAAGGCAGATGCTTAACCATCTGAGCCACCCAGGTGCCCTCCTTAATACAAATTTTAAGGTCTTTAAAATCAATAAATAGATACCTTGCTTAAATGGGTTTTAACAGAAAGAAACAACTAGCAGACCCGTTTTCTCACGTGAACTCTTATGAGGAGCTCCCCTATGTTGGGGTGACAGTGGAGGGTGGCTGGAGAAGGAGGGAGGCTGGAGGAGGCAGAGCAGGTGAGCTCCACATCTCCCCATGCCTGTTGCATCCAGAACTCTTACAGGCAGGCGGGTTGACTTCTTTGCCTTTAGCCGTGCGTGAGAGGAGTGAATACTAATGTATAATCAGCCTCTCATAATTCATATCAGACATTTGAGGAACCCTGGAAGCTTTGTCTTGTAGGATCCTGATGTTCAAAACTGATGCTCAATTATCTTTTTTCTGTGAAGTAGATTTACTGTAAAATGAGGCATAACTACATAGAGATAACCAGTGTTTTCCTTCGAGTGTACATATAGGTTCTGGTACAATGACTTTTCGTCTGGAGGTTCTTAATAAGTGTAACATCTTTATTAGTTTTCTTATTTAAAAGTGAAAATACTTGCATATATTTGTAATATTTTCACATTTTATTATAAGGTAGAATTTGAGGAGCTCTGGAAACCTTGTCCTAATCATGATCAATATCAATAGTTCAGAATTCATTCCCGTAGACTTTTTTTATTGTATTACATGACAAATTTTATTCCTTCTTTAAAAAGGTGGAATCATGCTATATATATTGTTTTGTGATTTGCTTTATTTCCTTGATAAGAAGTCCTTTTTGCGTTAATGTATAGAGATACTCTCTATTCTTTCAGTGGATTTGTACTCTTCCATTATATCATAACTTTCTTTTCTACTCCCGTATTGGTGAATATTTAAGTTCCAATAAACATCCTTTATGCATCTATCTTTGCCTATTTGGACAAATGTTTCTGCAGGATAAATTCTAAGAAGTAGAACTTCTAGATCAAAGGATGACCATTTTTACATTTTAATGGATATTTGGGGGCTTTATACGATGTTAGATTGACAGCCTGATACTTATTGGAAGTAAACTTAGTTCGGACTTTCAGAGTTTTAGCTAAGTGATCTATCATCATGGATGTACACCAGTTTGTCTAATATAAGGTTTCTAGTAATGTAGAATCTCTAAAGTGACAGTTTTTTTGTTCTTCCAGTGATGGAATGGGGGGACGATATTAAAGCAGTTTCACAAGATGAAGCAATAATGTTGGTCAATCATCAGGCAACAGGAGATGTATGCACTCTGATGATGTGCCTCCAGGACAAAGGACTGGTAAGCATCCTGAAGGCAGACGTAGACAGCAGGAGGGGGAGGTTAATGAAGAATCTATTCAAGTATCTTACTGCGGTTTGGAATGTAAACTGTAATATCTCTACTTTTCCTGAAAATTGAGAAAACTTAAAAAATATATATATATAATTCTAAGCATAATTCCAACTCCAGGACAGGAATGTGGAGACTTTCAAACAAGTAACTGGAAAATAATGTGGATGATATCTCCTAGAGCTATTTTTAAAAAAGTAATTGAGGCAAAATCAGAGTTAAGATGTTCAGATTGGGGGCTGTCTTGAGGTGAAGTGGTGGGTCACTGGTTTGAAAAACAGACACAAAAAGCAGTATTGTTTAAGATAGAAGAGTCTAGTTGATCAATGAACTAGATAGTCTTGGGGATCTTTAGAAGAAAAAAAACATAAATATTTTGGATTTCCTTTATAAAGCAAATTGAAAGGAAAGATATTAGGCCCATTTTATTAAGTGTTACTAGGCTATATATAATAAATTTATAAATTAACATTAAAGTAATAAGTAATAAATTAGCATTAAGAGAATTATCACCTTAGAAGTTAAAGAGGTTGTGTTCATAGAAAACTAAATAGAAAATATATAAATTAATGGAGTTAGTATTTATCCTAATAGTAAAAAACAAACCCATAGATGTTTATTAAGTGCTTCATATTCATGGTCAGTGACTGTAAGGATTGAACACCATCCTGTAAGACACTGTCTTCTCAAAGGATCTAACAGTCCAGCATTGGTGGAAGGAAAGTATAGTGAACAGTACTTAACTGCAAAATGAAAGGTATTTAGTGGAGGGTGAGCTCCCCATGTATGATAGGTATAGAAAACTTTGTAGAGGGGAAAGGACATAAACTTGGCCTAGTTAGAGTGGTGAAGCAAGGGCCTTCTTCCTTAGTGAAACAGTCTTGGCCAGAACACCAGAGCAAACTAAGCCTGGTATGTTTAGTTCCTAGAGATTTTGATTCAGTAGGTCAGGGTTAGGGGTCAGAAAAGGAGGTGAGAGTAAAGTAAAATATGCTTAACTATTGTAGAATCTGTTTTTCATGTTTATCTGAAAAGCAGAGGCATAATCTTGCTGGAATGTGGAATAAATTCAATCCTTTCTTATATTCAGAATCTTGAACTGTTAAAAGAATATCACTGTATAAATGTATTTGCGCTTATAATAATATTTATTACTTGTGATGATGTTAAAATTTTGTAAAGCCTAGTTTATTTGGTTTTCATCAAAGAGAATCCCCAATTAACATTTTTATTCTTACTGATATGGTCATTACATTCATAGTGATTTTTCTGAGGGTTTACAGTGTCCTTAATTGGTTTTTGAATTTCAAAGAATGATTACAGTGGTCAGTATAAATACGCCTAACTTAATCACTCTCACCCGAGTTTGGCATGGATGATAACTGTATTAACTAGAATATTAGGTAATCTGAAATTCACCAATTGTGTGGACAAAAGAAAATCTGCCTTGTTTGTTTCCTTTTGTAAAAAGATTTCTGTTAGTTTGACTTAGGTTCATTTTTCTGTCCAGAGTAATTTTGTTTTTATTTTCAGATGAGTTATACGAAACATTTTTATTATGATCTGATATTAATGAATAATTTGAAATCTTGAATTTTTTTTATCTTTTTTCATAAAGGAGTAATTTAGAAATATAAAGCTGGAAGCATCGTAATCTCTCCCTCCTGCCTAATATGTACAGGGCAATATTAATTTATATTTACCAGTAAGAATGTTTACTTGACTTATTGCATACTCCGTGGGTACATTCGAAGAAAGAAGGCTAATGCTAAATTGTGGGCCAATTAAAAAATATTAGTTTAATGGCGATATGTGAGTGTAACATAGCTTTTGGAATTCAGGGGACTTCTTGTAGCACCCTTCAGTGTTAGCGGGGGTCCCATTGGCCCATTGGTAGGACAACACTGTTTTCCTGAACTGTCCTGGGCGTTGCTGGCTGTTTTCCATACCTGACTGCTACCCACTAAATGCTGGTAGCACGCCCTACCTACCCTTCGTGATAACCCAGATTGTCCTTACAGATTTCTAAACAGGAGAACCATTGACTTAACTATACTTTCAGAAGGATATAAAGAACATAGTCCTTCATGTAAGCCTCTCTAGATTTTTTGATATGTAGAAAACCCATGCTTCCAGATAAAGACTAATTGATTTGGGCCAATTCTGTTTCTTGGAATTACCTAACAGAGCTCTGAGTGACAGACCTATGAAACACTGAGAGTTGCTTCAGGCAGCTGGTGTTTACTGGCCCTCTTTTGAGGAATATGAAACAAAGGATTCATTGTATTTTCCAAATGTGCGTGTACCTTTTAAATAAGTATCTGTGAATTGAGTCATGCCCTTTTATGACAAATGATGATAAAACTAAGAATTTTTATTTCTGTCAAAAGAACTGTATTAGACATATAATAAACATTTATTGACTTGTAACATTTCCCCTAAAATAAGTTGGGACAGAATTATGCATACAAATCTCAGAAGATAGCTTGGCTATCTTACGAATGGATTTGTTTTAGGTGACCCTTCTAACTGAAGAGATAAATCCACTGTAAATGTAAGGTTAAACATAAAAACTAGTGGCTTTAGTGTTGGTATTTTAAACCCAGAAACCAATAAATTGCAACTAAACTTCATACTGTGTATAAAGCTCAAGTATTTTATAGGTTGAAGCAACTTGCTTTTTGTTTTGTTCCTTGGGACACTTTGCAGCAAATTCCATTTAGTTCAAATCTCAATTTATTTAAACAAAGTAGTCATCATTACAAAGCAAAACAAGACTGAAAAATGAGATGTTGGCAATCATTTTATTCTGTATTAATTGCCTTAGGAAATCACTTCTTCACTGGGCATGTATTTTTATTTTTTAAAGGGATTTAACATAGTAAGGCTGATGGGGTAGGAGTTGTGTAGTTGACTTATATAGTGATGCTGAAAAATTAAGGCAGAAGCTTTAATGTTATATTATTTGTCAGCTTTTTACTGTTTTTATAAAAGCACCAGCGATGTCAGTGCTTATTTTTTTCCTAATATGTAAGTTCATATAATTTGGTGCTTCGAGATGAAGTTTACATGTGTTATTCCCATAGAAACCAAAGTAGAGCTCTATTGCATTCTTGATTGAGGCTGTAGCTTTTAATGAATTTATTTAAGGATTATAATGAGGAATGCCATTTCCTCAGCAGGGAGGAACAATTAACTAGTTTATTAATTAGACCCTTATTTACACCTACTTTTAATTTTGAAATTTGTTTGAAATAAAGTCTTTTGCTGTGAAATGAGTATTACTTTTTTTTTTTATCAGCAAGGGATACTATTTCTGTGTTTAAGAACTGAGGTGCTATAAATATTTTTATGCTGGCAAAGAGTATGGCCTTGCATAAACTAACAAATATTCTTAACATAATCTAATGCATAAATCATTCTATGAAGTGAATTTTGAATGTTCTTTTATTTTGGACATTTTTGTACTTTTATAAAATTTTATAGTTTTATATTTATACATTTATAATTTATAATTTTTAATATTTTAGCCCTTAAAGTAAAGTCACATTTTATAAAGATTTAGTGCTTATTAATTAAACTTATAGCCCTCATTTGATGACTTTATTTTATTGTTTCAAAATAATTTTACAAGTTATATAAGAATTACCAGAGACTTTGTTTAGGGTAGAACAAATTTGGAATCCTTAAGTCCAAATTTAAGAAGTTAATTCAGTTTTATTTGTTACACAGCAATATATATCCCTCAGACCTGGAATTTCAAGACTTGGAATCGAGACCAGTAATTTTTCATGGAGACTTTGTACTTTAATTGTAGAAATAAACACCAGATTTAAAATATTTAGGTTAATTAAGAGGATGCTTAGATGGTTATATTTAAAACTTAGAGCCCTGGCTAGACTATAGCAGGTTTCTTCTACTTAACGTGTAATTATTTCTTGCTTTTAAATATTTTAGGTTGTTGCTCAAATGATGTGGTTGATGGATCATATTTTTAAGTACACAAACTTTGGAATTGTTTCTCTAATTCACGGAGACTTCTTTATAAGACAGGTGAGTAATGAGCATTCCTTTTTCACAGTGAAAGCCTGATCAAAGTGATCCTTTATTATAAACATAGGCATATTGGTATGCCTATGTTTATATATATATATCATATATATATATATTATATAATAGAGAGAGCTCTAGTATCTCAGGGAGCTCTTCCTCTGAATCTTTGTTCTCTGAAACATTTATTTCAATCTGAATTTCAATATTTATATGCTCAAGCAGTAAAATGGTGACATTGCATATATTCTAATCTCCACCCTCCTCATCCCATCTAAACAGTACAATGTTTAGTAAAGGTTTGTCAAGCACCTGCCACATTCTCAGCTCTTCTGCTTCTTAGCTATGTGAATCAGGCAAGTTATTTAAGCTTTCCAAGTTTTCTGATTTTTCAGATGAGAATAAGAGGTACTGCCCTCATAGGGTAGGAGTTAAATGAAATAATACACTCAGAACAGTGCCTGCTTCCTTCGTCATCATTTTTATCATGATTACCACTATCATCATCATCTGTATTTTCACTATTATTTTTATTGACAAGTCACTGTTACATGATAGAGAAGGTATCTAAATTGCCAGTAGGTGGGTAGGTAGGTAGGTAGATAGAAAGGTAGATAGAAAAGGAAAGGAAGAAAGAAAGAGGAAGGAAGGAAGGAAGGAAGGAAGGAAAGAAAAAGAAAAAGAAGGAAGGAAGGCAGAAGAACGTATTTTGGGAATTCATAGTAGGAAAAGTGACTCCTTCAGATTTTTATGAACTCAGAAAAACTTTAGAGAAGAATAAGTATGAGTTTGATAAGAGAAAAGTAGATTGAGAATGGTTCCCAAGCATTAGGGATAAGTTTAGTTAGTGTAGGAGGAAGAATCATACCCTCTTATCAAGTCAGCACTACATTATGGTATTTCCCTGGTATGCTACTAGTATCACATGCTTGATTTTCTCAAAAACTGAAATATGATACACAAGAGTTTTTACATATGGTAATGCCACACTTATCTGATATTTATATATTTAGCAGCTTCAGCCTTGCACATACAAGTACTTAATGAATAACTGATGAATCTGATTAGTCCTCATCTGAGAACCACAAATTCAGAAATAAGCTGGGTGTATAGAGAAACTTCTAAGGTGTCTGTAGGTGTCACAAAACACATACACTTTACTCCAGACACTTTTATGTACAGAACATTTTGTTTTTCATGTGCTGTGCAATGATCTAGTTTCTTCTGGAAACACTCTTAGTTCTTCTGAGCAGAAAGATGAATGGAAGCATTGCACTGGAACCTCAGGAGAAAGTGGCAATGGGGATTGGCCACAAGCTTGAGACAAAATAAACGGTGATCAGAATAACTTAACAAGGAAATTAGCATAATACTTTGAGTACCACTGGAGGGGAAGAAGCAGAAGCAACCATTGCACCTTAGCAGTCTAGGGGAATGCAGAGCCCTCTCCAACATGAGAGTCTGAGGAAATTATCACAGTTATAACAATTGACCCTGTTGATGATCCTCAGGCATCACTAAATTATACTAAATGATCAGTGTACTTTGAGGAGATAAGTGTAGAAAATAATACACTCCGAAACATTTTCCTTTTTATTGCAATGTAAAGTTTTACATACTTAAAGATTGTATTTCAAAATTATCAGAAATATTGCAAGTTCATTTCTAAAGAGCAACCTCTTTTCCCCCTGATAGATAGTAATAAAAAGTCTGTAACATGGGGGGAGGGGAGAAAGTATGAGGGAAAAAGTATTATTTTTATTTTTTTTAAGATTTTATTTATTTATTTGAGAGAGAGAGAGAGCACATGATGGGGGGAGGGTCAGAAGGAGAAGCAGACTCCCTGCTGAGCGGGGAGCCCGATGTGGGACTCGATCCCAGGACTCCAGGATCATGACCTGAGCCGAAGGCAGTCGCTTAACCAACTGAGCCACCCAGGCGCCTGAAAAAGTATTATTTTTAAAGAAAGTCTCTTGGACTTCACTACTAGATATTTCCAAGAATATAAAAATATTTTACATGCAGTCTTGGGAACTTAATAAATAAAGCTTAATCATGATCAATTCAATTCAGTAAAATAAGAAAATGTCTTACTTGTTTTGCATTGGAATAATTTAAAGACTGAATGCATACAAATTATTTTGGGGCCTTCTATAATTGTGTTGGTTGGAAAATTATTAGTGAATCGACTATACTGAAAGGAAGAACCTTTGTAATATTTGTGGGTTTTGGGCTTTCCTACAAATTTTTCTGGATTCCTCTTTCAGTCTCCAAGTCATCCCCTTTCTTCTCTTTCCCTCACACTAAGGTCCAGTCCATTAGAATGGCCTGTTTGCTCTCCTTTCAGACTCTCCTGAACGTATCCACTTCTCATCAATACACCATAGTCAGATCTCATCACACCCCCTTGCCTGGAATTAAAATAGTCTCCTGACTTACCTGCTGGAATCTGTCACTGGAGCCAGCAGATTTTTTTTTTTTAATGTAAATAAGAGCATGACCGTCCCTTGTTCAGAACCACCCATTGACTTCTCATCCCAAACTACTTACCAAGTTCAAGGCCTTTCCTCTCTGTCCCCCACCTCTCTCTGCAATTTCCTCTCCTACCACTGTCTTCCTCACTCCTTACACATCAGCCACACTGGCCTTGGTACTGCTCTTGGAACATCCATCTCAGGGCCTTTGTCCTTTCTGTTCTTGTCACCTGGAGAGCTCTGCCTCTCCTTTCCACTTGACTGGTTCCCTCCCATTACCAGCTCACTGGGGCTGTTCTCCCTGACCTCGTTGACCTCCTCTATCCTCCTACTCTTTTTCTTCCTAACACATCACTCTCTGAATTTACACTTCTTAGTTTTCTATCTTTTCCACTCAGGTAAGCTCCATGAGGGTCTCTTACCTACTTTTCTATCTCCAGCGTGTAGGACAGTGCCTGCCAAGTAGTATGCACTCAGTACTCAACTTTCTCCTGAGGTTCCAGTGCAAGGCTTCAATAGTCACTGAACTGATGAATGAGTAAACTCTCAGGGGCAATTAGAGCAATTTTTTTTTTTTTTTTTTTTGCTTCTGGAGTGCTAATGTCATGTAAGTGCTAATCACTTCTTTTCACCACTGTGGTCAAAGGGGGAAGTACATGGGGGGAAATTGCTCTTCTAGTCTATGAGTGGGATTTACTTTAGAAGCTGTTATTTCTATTTAATTTTATGGCATTTTAATTTAAAATGTGCCTATTCTTATTATATGTGTGTCTGCCTTCTCAGGGAAAATCTCATCGTGACCAGCAGCTTCTTCTTCTCAAAAAGCACCTAGAAGAGAATTATAGGAACAGAGATCGAAAATGGATTGTTTTGTTTCCAGAAGGGGGCTTCCTCAGGAAGAGGCGAGAAACAAGTCAAGCATTTGCCAAAAAAAATAACTTGCCATTTCTTACACATGTCACTCTGCCAAGGATTGGAGCAACAAACATTATCTTGAGCGCACTTGTCGCACGACAGGAAAATGGAAGTCCCGCAGGAGGAGATGCTAAAGAATTAGGTATGACGGCTTTTAGCACTTTTTCTTTTGTCGGAACTCCGGATTATCTGGAGTTCCAAAAGATAACATCATTGTTCTTTTTTATATTTATAATTTTTGTCAAACAGAAATAATAGGGAGAAGATGCAAATTTAATTTTTTAATGTTTCTATTTTACAGAAGTTAGTTCATGCTTAACAATAGTATAGTCTGTAGTATAGATTCCTAGCAGTGGAATTGCTAGCTTAGAGGTACAGGAATAGAAATCGCTAATTTGAAAAACTAATCATAGATATGCAAATGCAAATTATAATAATGTATATTTTTTTCATTTATCAAATTTAGAAAGATTTTTGGTTTGCTTTTAATACAGAGTATGAACTTAATGCAGTTTGACAGTGTTTATTAAGAGCCTTCAGGTGTTGATAAATGACTCCATTATTCCACTACAAATAATACTTACCAAAAGGAAATAATAAGACATACATGGTAAAGAGGTTTATCACAGCATTATTTTTATTTATTTATCTATTTATTTATTCATCATTATTTTCACAATTATTTTTAATAGCAAAAAATTGGAAATAGCCAGAAGGGAGAACAGACAAGTAATTATCAAATATCCATCCAACACAGTACAACACAGCCATTACAAATGATGTTCATAGAGAGTTTTTATGGCCTGGAAAGTGCTTATGCTCTATCATTTTCATGGAGGGGGAGAACATACAACTCTTGTGAAACCATTGTGAGCTCAAATATGTCAACAATAAGCAGTGGAAAATGAGTGAAAGGAAAGATCCCAAATGTCAGCAGTGATTGCCTCTCTGAGTGGTAACATTATGGATGATCTCCCCCCATTTCTGAATGCTTCTGATTTTTTTTTTTTTAAATAATGAGTATGTATTACTTTTACAGCCAGGAAAAAGCAAACCATACTCAAAGATGCAACTGTTTTGGAGATAGCCTGGTGAACTGTGAAGGTTTGCAGAATTGTGCCAATAGCATGAAGACTCTTTTGAAGTTTATCTGAGACACTGTGAAATTGGGTGATAAATGATAAATTAAAAGACTGAAAGAAACTCACTAGGCCTGTTTCCTTAGTAGTATTTTGCTATTTAAAAAAATATATTCTTTAGATAAAATAAAAATGGAAATGATTGACCCTCAGAAATATGTGTTTTTAATGATGGTTAGGACCAGACATAGAGATAATGCCTGTAGGACTGCACTGAGTTTTCCTTTCTTTTTTTTTTTTTTTTTTTTAAGCAGCCGCTTGGCAGTCAGCTCTCTTAATCTTTCATCATCTATTAAAAAGACAAATTGAAAGAGTCTTTTAATAGAAAAGGAAAATTCAGAATAGCTTCAGACAGACACCGTGGCAATGTCAGCCAAGCCAAAGCTTGAAGGCAAAGATCTTCCAAATAGGATTAGTTGCACTAATAAAGACTGCTGTTTTTTTAAACAGTTTTGCCCAGTCAATAATACCCTGTGGTGTTCTAGATTGCAAGGGTAGGGGCTGTTGTGATATTGATCACACAATCATGAAGAAAATGTTTTTTCTCTCAGAGAAAAAACAATTTCTTTTTATAATAAAAGCAAAGTAACTTATTATTTATCTTACCTTGGTTAAGAGTTTTTATTCTAGGGGCTTAGGAATAGTTATAAGAAATTCTAGAAAGTTACATACCCCAAAACTAGTTTCACTTGTATTTTACCATTTTCTTCTCTGTTTTGGCATTTTGTATTTTATTTTCTCTAGCGTTCATATTTACTATTTAGTGTTCTGTTCCATACAAATATGCCTTCATCTCTGTTTTAATATATGATCCATATACTGGGGCACCCAGGTGGCTCAGTTGGTTGAGCATCTGACTTGATCTTGGCTCAGGTCTTGATCTCAGGGTCGTGAGTTTGGGCCCCACATTGGGCTCCACGCTGAGTGTGGAACCTACTTAAAAATATATATATATATATATATACACATATATATATAATCCATATATATATCAAAACTGTGTCTGATTAACTTTAAAAGGGTTTAAAAGGGTTAGTATTTTTTGTTTATTGTGTGATTTAATAGATATTAAACTGAACTCTGGTGATTTTTCCCAATAATTTTTATTATAAAAATTTTCAAGCATACATAAAAAGTTGAAAGAATTTTACAGTTAATATCCATTAGCTGACCAACTAGATTCTATAATTAACATTTTACTGTATTTGCTTTATTGTATCTTTTTCCATCCTTCTATCAATCCATTAGTCCATCTTGTTTGTTTTTTTAATGCAATCAAAGTAAGTTGCAGACATCAGTATACTTTACTCCTAAACATTTCAGCATGTACATCACTGATAGCTTGTTAAAATGTTTCTTTACATAAACTCTGTTCCTTTAGCAATAAGTTATTTAAATTTTTTTTTACTTATTTCTATGAGTATTTTTCCCCTTCAGAATATTTCTAAAATTTTTTAAAGCTTAAGGTCACTTTTTAGTTACTTGATGTACAAAAGTAAAGTATCATTGATTGTTAGTGCACATTTAGACTTATGTTTGAGAATAAGTTTTATTTTTTTAGAGCCCTCTTAAATACTTCAAACAAAGGGCAGACTGTCACCCAGGACTGGCTATCAGCATTCTCTCTGTGGATTCCCCTCTCAATTCTTGTTCAACTTTGTACTCCATGCTGGGAATAAAAGCAGCGTGCCAACAACCGAAGTAAACAGAGCTTTCCCACAGCCTCTTACAATAGTAATTACCTGTCGTACCTACCAAAGAGTGGACAGTTTTACTGTTTTATTTGTATAGAGCTAAAATGGGAGGAGCTTTTTCTTTGTGTTAAATAAGAACAGCAACTGATAATCCTGTGTCAATAAAATGCTTAATTTGGGGCCTTATTCCAGTATTTATTAATGTCTTCCAAGTATCACAAATCTTGGTGTTTGCATTGTATTGTATTGTATTTGGTGAATGGATTTGTTTTATTTTGAGGTCTGTTTTTTTACTTTTGTGATGTGATACTTTAGCTTCTGACTTTTGAGTGATAAAATATAAATTAGACCTTGACAGTGCACTGTTGTATTGAATGCTTTAATGGTGCACATCCAATAAATAATAGTGCTCTGTTAGTTGTTCATTTGTTTGAGATTCAGCAATTTCATATTAGGAAATGCTTGATATCATATAAAACAGTGACACCAAAGTTCATCCTGTTTTCATAAAGCAGAAGATACAGCAATATGCTTTACTTATACTATATTATTTGTTGTATATAATATAAAAATTGATCCAATTTTAAGTTGTTTTTTGCTTTGTCCTCAGAGAGCAAATCAAAAGGCCTCCAGTGGATGATAGATACAACTATAGCTTATCCCAAAGCTGAACCCATAGATATTCAAACCTGGATCCTTGGGTATAGGAAACCAACAGTCACACATGTACATTACAGGTAAGAATTTTGTGTTAGTAATCCAGCACATACCCAACATAAAGTACTATCTCAGGACAGTGTATTAATATTAATGTTTTAGTCAATAGTGAAAATAGTTGGCTCAAAATCATTCTTATGCTGACTTTTTAATATGAAAATATCATTTGAAGTAGTTATTTTCACTGAGTGATAAAATTCTCTAAAAATGGCATTCTGGAGGCACTGTGATTACTTGATTGCCTGACACTCAGAGCAAAAGTAATTAGAGGCAAACATCAAGCATAAATATATACTCATTTGGGCTAAGCAGATTTGTATTAATAGAAATGGAATTTGTTTTTAAATCATTAAGTCACATAAGATATTCTAAATGATTAAATTGAGAATTTAGCTAAAACTTAACACTTTAAAATTTTTAATGTTTTAATATTTAACATTTTAATATATCATTTGCATGAAACAGCAAAAACATTTATTGAATATTCTGTACCAGCTTCTTGAGACTTTTTAATGTAGATTGCTTTTTTAATTAATTATTTATTTATTTTTAAAGATTTTATTTATTTATTTGACAGAGAGAGACGCAGTGAGAGAGGGAACACAAGCAGGGGGAGTGGGAGAGGAAGAAGCAGGCTCCCCGCTGAGCAGGGAGCCCGATGCGGGGCTCCATCCCAGGATCCTGGGATCATGACCTGGGCCGAAGGCAAATGCTTAATGACTGAGCCACCCAGGCACCCCTAGATGTGCTTTTTTAAAAGGTTTTTATATTAAAGCACGATGCTGATGAAGCCTGGATAGATTTGACCACTTTATAAGCCATTTATCTTTTACTCTGTTTCCTAGTCAAAGAGCTCAGCTCCTGGCAACTCAGTTACAAAGTGAGTGTTGTGTAAGACTGATAAATCACAGACCTGTACCCCTGAAACAACTAATACATTATATGTTAATTTAAAAAAACAAGCAACAAAGTGAGCAGTTGGTCCCCCAGAAGTTCACAATTGCCACAAAAGCCCTCAATTCAAGAGGAAAACTACTCAAATTACATACTCATTGAGAGTAAATAGGTACATGTTTTCATATGTATAAACCATCATAGTTTTACAAATAAAAGTACAGCATTGGAATAATTTGAAACTGAAGTTTTAAAACTTAAATATTACAATTTAGGTTTTTGGTATGGAAGTGATGACTATAAAATTACAGTTGATTCCACTATGTGACTTATATTGCTAAATGGTGAAGTTCATGTGTGACCGCACTGACTCCATTCCACGTATGTTGTCCATTTTACTTACTAAGCACTTACTGCATATAAGGCAGTATGCTAGGCCCTGACAGAATTTCTCCAGGAACAGTTTTATTTTCATATATATGAAGCTTATCTAGCCTTCAGTAAATTTTTAAATTGTAATCTATAAATGAAACTCAATTCTGGTGCCTGAACCCAAAATAACTGACTCTTGGTTATAAGTTTTAGATACATGTAGATTGTATTTGCATTGGATATATGTAGATCTTCCTAGCACATCATACCCAAAAGGAACTGAGATAAGGAAGAAAACATTAATTATATAGGCATTCTATTGTAGTTGACCCTTTCTTTTTTAACCAACAAAAAGAAAACAGTTTTAGTTTATAGATAAAAAAATGAATCATAAGGGATCTAAGATAACAATAAAAAATTTAAAAAAAGGGATCTAAGAAATTGAAGCAGTGTCCATTTTTCGCAAAATTATTTTAACAGGAGTAAGTTCAAGGTCTTTAAATTCACTTGAAGCAGGGGTTCTTAACCTGGATAAACCTGAGAATTTTTTTTTTTTTTGCCCTCAAAATCAGATGTTACTTTAATTTAAAACATTTTTTTATTTGAGTGTGGTGGACACACAGTGCCCGGTTGGCCTCAGGGTCCAAACAGTGATTCAGCTTCTCTGTGCATTATGCTCAGCACAAGTGCAGCTGCCGTCTGACCTCAGAGAATTTTTAACCCAATCTCTGTGCAAAATATTGTGTACGTCTGCAGTTTTCTGCAGAGAAGTTTCACAGCTTTCGATCTAGTCTCAAAACAGATTAAGGATTTAAAAAAAGATTAAAGATTCCTGATTTAGAGATCCAAACCAAATAGTAGATAAAAGATGTGGAATGGTTAGCTTGATACAGAAAAATACTTCTACTGATAAAATTGAAACTTCTGAGAAATTGGTTTTTTTTTTTGTTTTTGTTTTAAGAATATATTCATTTGAGAGAAAGAGAGATAGTGAGAAAGAGTCTGAGGGGTGGGGAGAGGGAGAAGCAGGCTCCCCGCGGAGCAGGGAGCCCGATGCAGGGCTCAATCCCAGAGCCCCAGGATCATGACCCAACCGACTGAGCCATCCAGGTGCCCCAAGAAATATGTTTGATTATGGAAACTTTATTATCATACATAGAAATAGTAAAGAGAATTCTAAAATATTAGATTAGCAGAGATTAAATCATGATGTAGAATCATATCCTAAAATATTAACTATAGTACACATTATGCCCAGTTATTTATTTATACATACATACTCACATACACACATCCTAGGAGTCTCGGGACAGGTAAAGAGATAAGCTGTTCTTTAAAGATACTTAATAAAAAGAGTTTATTGTCTAACCAGTGTTAAGAAAAGGGAAGGACTTGTGTTCAGATGGGAAAGGGAGGGGAAATGAAAGGGGCCAGAGAAAAAGAGGTGTCTTGTTAACAGTATCGTTTTGAGGGTTTGCAAGAAGCTCGTGAGAAGCGATATGGGCCATGACCGTGGCAGCAACCAGGGATAAATCTCTATCACCCTCACATTGAGTAGGTCTCCTCCTGTATTGTTCTAGGCCATCTGTACACCCTGGGAGATAGGAAAAAAAGGATTGTTTTGTGGTTTGGTTGGGGTTCGGGGGAGCTTCCTCCTACCTCCAGTTTTCTCAATTCCAGAATAAACCTTGGATTTTTCCTGGTAGGAATAACACCATTGAAATTAAAATAAATTTAAACAAACGTGGTACTCCTTACCCATTTTTTTTTTCCTGTTCTCAGAGAGATTGGTTTTTGTTCAAACTCTCCAGTTGTTTGGTTGTATTTTTAAAGCTTTAAACAAGGATGAGATGTTTCCAATTAGAATAAGAGATTTTAAATGCAACATTGGAAATCATATATACACAAATGTGAAAAATATAAATAACTGAGGTCAAGTCTCTTTCTCTTTTAATGTGGGAGGCTGGCAAGAAAAATTAAGCAGCATTGACCGGTTAAAGTGGGGAGTGGGTGCCCAGAGAGAAAGGAAAAAGTGTTCAGGAAACTGTCAAGTTCACTGAAAAATAGTAGTTTGGCTTAATGTTGCCTTATCTTCATCCATAGGCAGATTTTAATAATTATTATTATTTTTAAAGATTTTATTTATTCCTTTGTGAGAGAGAGAGAGAGAGAACAAGCAGGGGGAGTGGCAGGCAGAGGGAGAGAGAGAAGCAGACTCCCTGCTGAGCAAGGAGCCTGATGCGGGACTCGATCCCAGGACGCTGGGATCATGACCTGAGCCGAAGGCAGACGCTTAACCATCTGAGCCACCCAGGCGCCCAGATTTTAATAATTATTAATGAATGTATTTTTTTCCTGCAATTAAGCATAATTTATCCAGAACTTTTCTATTAAGCCACATGGTACAATTTTGTTTCATATTATTTAGAAAGTATTTGTTTTCTTCTTAGCCCAAGCTGACTTTTTTTTTTTTTTTAATAAAGCACCCCCTCATTCTTGGAGAATTTAATTGAAATGATTACCTGGTGATTATGGTGTAGCTGGGCAAGTTGGTACTGTTGCTAGTTTTTTTCAGTATAAGCTAGAGTATACATGTCAGAGTCAAAAATTAATTATTCCATTCTGCTTAGCATTTATCAGATCCCGCTTAGAATACTACATGTTTTTTAATTTCTCTATTTTAAAAGAAATAATACAGCTAGTAGAAGCTTATGAAAATACCTAATATATATAAATCCTAGAACACTAGTACCACTTGAATGACCATTTTAGGTCAAACCAAAGCAAATTTGGAGGTGGTAGTAATGAAATGAAACATAATTCTAAGGGAAACCCCAAGTTGAAAATATAAACAGTTTAAGGAAAAATTTAACAGTTCAAAAGTACTAAATCTGTACTAAGTTTCTGTATATATGAAGTACTTTGACCATATTTTAGGTAAATTTCATGGAGGGCAGTAACTGGCCTTTCCCGTGTGACACCTCTGAGCCTCTGGGGTACTCTTAGAACACCATAACATTCTTGAACATCAGAGTGTACTTGGGGAACAATATAATTGTCATCCTTCAACATTATTTAACAATCTGTAGTTGGGCCATTTTTTATTTTTTTAATACGTTTCTCTTCTTGGAAATTATTGTCAAGGCTGCCAGGTAAACTCCACTCCCTGTTCTGTATACCTCATTGGAACATACTGTGACAGGTGTATGGAGATTTCTGAGCAAAAAAGGCATTTTGCGGGGCACCTGGCTGGCTCAGTCATAGGGGCATGTGACTCTTGATCTCGGGTCATGAGTTCAAGCCCCACGTTGGGTGTAGAGATTACTTAAATAAATAAAACTTTTTTTTTAAGGCATTTTTCCCTATAGAGTGACTCCAGGTATAATGTGTCAGTAAAACTAAATGCTTAGAAAACATTTGGTCTTTATTTAAATAAGAAAAGACTATCTAGATTACCAGAATGTGCAGCAGAATATTCTTCTAGATTTTAAGTTTCTGTACTGATGCTTAGGAAAAAAGCATAAGAATGCAATAGCTTATTTTAAATGTTCTGAGATAAACTATTTTTTTATTTTCCAATAGCAATTTTCAGCATTGTCCGTTCACTTCTTACTTCTTGGGTTAATATGTTGATTTTTAGGATTTCTGGAAGAGAAAACCCTAAAACCCTTAATATATATGTTACTATATGCTGTAAAATACTTTTCTAAAATACCACATAAATGAGAAAGTAAACATTTGTGACATGGTTATA